CTTTCGCATTGACTTGGTCAGTGCTCCGCTGCCTGCCAAATTGAATGAGGAGGTTATGAATGTGAATGCGAATAGATGGAGGATAGATGCATAGACTGAGATGCTCTAGTATCATCGAGGCCACACAGACCGACGCCAAAGGCTGATGAAAAAGATGAAAGTCGATTGTTGTCGAAGAAGTCTATTGAACAGCTATGTATGTGGCCATCCACCAGCAGCACAACAAAAGCCTATTTGAGTAAACACTTGCGAGAATTGAAAATGTTACTATTAACAGAAGAATTGGTAATGCAAAGCTGAGTTGCTGGTGGTAGTAAAGGTGCGCTGCGGTAATTTGTGGCAGGCAAATAAAAAAATGAAAGAAAACGAATGGAAAAATTGGGCGCACTACTTTGGCTGAAAAAAGATAATTAATAAGAGCTTGACAACTTTGACAAGCGTTTTCAACGCTCGTACACCAGTGCGGACCAACGTAGCCAATCTATGCAAGAATGCACAGGGCTAACATGGGACTCTGGACAGAAAAAGCAACAGCAAAAATGAAACTTTCTGTAATGGTAGACCAAGTTGAGGCGAGCTGCACCAGGTGAGGCGTGTTATGTGTAGAGTTTATGTGTGCGCCTGAGTTTACGAGGATTGAAAGAGGAAGAGAGAATTGAGCCAAACTTTTGACCGGACGCAATTTTTTGCCCCGTAAACAGTGAGTACATGGCAAGTACACAAAAAGTGCCCGCTATGGATTTGCATGGTCAACTGCGGCGCGATGATGGCCAACTCTGAACCTTTTTTATAGTTGTGTGTTTGTGCCCATTGCACATTGCCAATTACCAATGGCTCAAGTAATAAATGGCCCGATGCACATTCTGCAGTACTGCACCAGCAGCACTGGGCACATTATTAATGGCAAATTATTTACTGGCTATTTGTAGGTGGCGGATGAATTGCCTGCTGCATGTTGCAGTGCTGGTTTGTCTGGCGCATATATCAACATTACACATAAACAAAATTGAACTTGGCTACGGCACCTTCTTTCTTTATTCGATGTGGCTTTTAAAACAGTTCTCTCCTGATTCATTCGCATCTTCCTCTCTCTCCCATTCTCCTAAAGTGTAGCAAAACATTTTATTTGCACGGAAAAGAGGTATTAGTCGGTGGAGTAGAGCAGTAAAGTGATCCAATTGCTCTGTGCTCTCTGGGAATAAAGGCGCTGTAGCATTTCAAATCGATATTTCACACAGGGAGATAGATTGCCGTCGCGCCCTTAGCTTGCTGTGCAGTTGTACTGCTAGTTGAAAAATTGTAACAGTGTAACAGTGCATTGAACACAGTACACAAAACAGCTCAATTGGCCAAATGCCGATGTGTCGATGTTGACTGCTGGGCAGAAAACATTGTGTTGGTGTTAGTGGTGTTAGTCTGTTTTTCCCCCTTCTACAGACAATGCGAACTGTGTGTATCATCAGTGTATTCAATTGCGGATCGTCGTTTGTCACCTTCGACTGTCGCCGCAGTCAGCGACAGAATCGGCAAACACGATTGCTTTCTGTATGGCTGACAAACTGGCTGGCCGAGTTGAACGGTTCAGTAGAGCAGTAGTAACAGAACTCCAATAAATGCATATTGATTGACGTTCACTTACAAACAAACAGCCAATACCAAAAGGTAAGGCGCACGTCATAACTCGGGAGTGATTGTGCAAAGTGTTGCATTCAAACTGTTTGCCTGCCTTTTCCCGCTTTCAATAAAACCTTTGAATGTTGTTGGCGTTGAAATAAAAAAGTGCAATTGCCCAAAATGTGCATGAATGCTAAAGTGAATATTATTGCCACCGCTACTGCTTTTCCTTTAGGATCAATCGACAGAGAGAAAAGTAAAAGCAAAAACAAAAATCAAAAAGTATTTGTGCACTCAACAAATCGATTTCGATCCAAACAGTATGCGGAATTGGAATTTAGAGCAATCGAAAGAAATCGAATTTCAGCATGCAGTGAAATGTGTGCTCTCGAAAAATGCCACACTACATAGGAAAAGTATTCAGAAGTATGAAGAAAAATTGAGTATCAAGACAAAAGGTGCTGGGGTGATGATGGGCCCTGTCTCTGTGTGTGCGTTTCTTCTTCATCATCGACAAAAAGTAATCTTTTCTCTCGTCGGTCCCAGTGGAACAGCTGTGCTCTTGGGCGCACTTTCTTTGTCTTCGCTGCCCAGTGACAACGTCAGTGCATCTGCTAAAAAGCAGAAAAAATCAGCAACAACAGCAACAGCAACTGCAGTAGCAGCAGTTCAAACAAATCATCTCACGTAATCTGCGCGGAAGGGCAAAAGATGAAAACGCAAAGAAGAAGTAGCAAAGGGCAGACAGATTGGAAAAATAAATAAAAAAGATGCGGAAAGACGAAAAAGAAAAATCGTTCAGGTTTTGTTGTTTGTTTTTGAATTAGATGGAAAAGCAGAAGTTGATGAGTAAGAACAAGAGCAGTGTAAACTCAAACTTACTTGATTGTACTTGGTTCGAACTGAAACCATCGGCACTGTGATGTGCCAACATCACCTAAAGTCGGTCAGCAAGGTGAGGTGCAGGAGGCCTGATCTGACCAGCCACATCGCCTCACCGGTAGTGTTCACCACACGTTTGTTGTGTGGGTGGTTCAGCACGGTGTTCGCCAATGACGTCAATACTCTTTCACTTTGCGCTGAAGAGGGCGTAGGCCAGAAACAGCAGCAGCAGCAGCAGCAGCTTTAAGCATCCGACCAACTGTCGTGTTCAACTTGTCATCGCAACACTTTTGACAGCGACGAGTTTCGAAGAGCAGAGGTGAAAGTGAACAATCAGGCAGTTCAGGCAGACTGAAGAAAGGATCGGCGCCAGGTTTGTAGACAACGCTGGTCATTTGAACAAACAGACAACAACAAGCAGACTGCTACCAGAAGACAATGGTAATGCGGTAAGAGACGAGACGTAAGTAAAGTGAAATCGCCAGGGCGCCAAGCGGTGGTGTCAGAACGAGATCGGCTTTTAATAATAGCAACAGGAACGAAACAACTGTCTGTTCACTGGAAAAGAGAAGACAATTGATCTGCTGTTGCGCTTACTCTGAATCATCAGACAGTAATTACCAATTAGAAATGATGATCTGCAGGGGAGGAAAAGGGGAAATAAAGTAAAGCTTCAGAGGCTGAAAACTGGTTGCGATACATACAGGCAAACACTCTGTCCTCATCTGCCGATTGAAAATGATAACCTCGGAAATGTGCACTGCTAAGCCCTCCTAAAAGCCAGAAAAACCCGACACCATCGATGAGCGAGTGAATGACAAACCATTGAGAAAAGAGTGACAAATTGTCGTGTATAAAGATGGGCAAATCCTGGCGACCGTGTTTGTCTGCTGCACAGCCCAAAGGGCCACTGTCCGATGACACAGCCATCAATCAAGGCGACTGCAGACTGAAGCCAGAATGGCAGCGCAGCTGACAGCAGCCTCGAGTGATGATGCTGCTGTTGCTGCTTCAATTGCCGCCCGATGAATGCGGCAATGAATCAAAGAAAATAATAGTACTCAAGCACAGACTTCAGTTCAGTTCAGCATTGTATGTCATACTCGTCGTTAATCCAATTAGCGAAGAATACAAAGAATAACAAAAATCAAGAAAAAGAGAAAGAGAAAGAGAGAGAGAGAGCAATAATGGCAATTAGGCTATGTGAAGAGATATCAAGGGGTAACGGTTGTGTTTAGCGTTGTGGCTGTCTTTGTACTGCTTGTTTGTCTGTCTGTGTGGGACTGTCTGTGGTAAATGTGATTATGACATATGGACTGGTTGGCTGGCTGGCTGGCTTAAGATTTTTAAGTTTTTTATTTCTCTGTGGTTGCTGAAAGTNAGAGGGCAATAATGGCAATTAGGCTATGGTAAGAATATCAAGGGGTAACGGTTGTGTTTAGCGCTGTGGCTGTCTTTGTACTGCTTGTTTGTCTGTCTGTGTGGGACTGTCTGTAGTAAATGTGATTATGACATATGGACTGGTTGGCTGGCTGGCTGGCTTAAGATTTTTAAGTTTTTTATTTCTCTGTGGTTGCTGAAAGTGGCCGTTTACCGTTGGCTGAAAAGCCCGGTAATGATGATGGAGGGCAGAGATTGTAGAGAATGAATTTGTCTAGCAAAATATAATAAATGGTACAATCTATACAAAGACTTGAAAAGAAGAAGGAGAAGGAAACAGAAGAAGAAGATGTAGGAGAAGTAGGAGAAGGAGAGAAGCGTGAGGATCTCTGAGAATCGCAGTCGAGAGTTTGCATGGTTATGAGATGCTGCAGTGTCAACAAGTGAAGCTTTGTGAAGGAGGAAGGATGAAGAGCAAGGAGAAAAATGACAAAGAATGACCTTGTGGTGGAGGGCGACGAGAACGTCAACAATGGTGGGGAGAGAGAGAATAATCGAGAGTCAATCGATCGATTCTCTATAAAAGATAGAAAGAAAAAATATGTNATGACCTTGTGGCGGAGCGCGACGAGAACGTCAACAATGGTGGGGAGAGAGAATAATCGAGAGTCAATTGATCGATTCTCTATAAAAGATAGAAAGAAAAAATATGTTGAAATAGGTCAACAAGTGTACAAGTGGAGAGTTTAGAGCGAGAAAGAGGGAGAAAGAGAANTGGAGGGCGACGAGAACGTCAACAATGGTGGGGAGAGAGAGAATAATCGAGAGTCAATCGATCGATTCTCTATAAAAGATAGAAAGAAAAAATATGTCGAAATAGGTCAACAAGTGTACAAGTGGAGAGTTTAGAGCGAGAAAGAGGGAGAAAGAGAAGACCAGAGGCACCTCTCTCATAAAGCAAAGTGGTGGTCCTGCTGGCAATGTACGATATGGACTTTCTTGTGAGCGTGTCTTGTTGATGGCTTGGTAAGAGTTAAAATAAGAATAGTGTTGTAATGGTAGTAATAGGGAAAGAGATGACCTAGGGGAGAGAGGGAGAGAATGCCAAAATAGGGAGTAGAGTATCACATGGCACGATAAGGTCCTTTCATCTTAAGGTACTGAATGACCAGCGAGGGGCCGCCGTTCACAATGTCGGTAGGGAATTGCGAGAGAGGACAGTTCTCAATGCTCATTATTTGCAAGTTGGCACAGAGAGCAAGTTCAAAGGGAAGACAGTGCAGATTGGCGTTGTCGTTTACGTATAGTGCCTCCAGGTGCTCCAGTGTTCCTGCAGGAAAAGGCATCAGATTACAAATGTCAAATTCAGGTATATAAATAGAAACAGTTGTAAACAAATCGTACCTATTTCTGTCGGTATAACGGACAGATTGTTCTCGCCCACGCTCAGAAAGGTCAGTTTCGAGAGGTGGCCGATTGCTCGTGGAATTGAAGTCAGCTGATTGTTCTGCAGAACAAGGCGCTGCAGTTCACTGAGGTAACCTATGAGAATATTAAACAAATTATTAGATACCGCTCAATCACTTTAACAAGTCGTACCAATTTCTGTTGGTAAAGTTTCAAGGCGGTTCTCTTCAATTTCTAAAACTCGCAATTTTCTCAGTCGACCGATAGAGCTGGGCAGCTTCTTCAGATTGTTGTTACTAAGAATGAGCACTTCCAGGTTCTCCAGGTGCTCAATGTCTTCAGGAATCTTTGCTAGCTGATTTGTTCCCAAGTTAAGCTCAACCATGTTGGTCCACGTGCCAATGTCCAGCGGAAGCGAGGTGAGCTGGTTGTCCACCATGTTCAACTTGGTCAGATTGGCCGCTCGAGAGAAGATTCCAAAGGGAATCTTAGTGATTTTGTTGTGCTCCATGTTGATGGACTGTATTGATATAAACAAAAAGTTTGTTAGCAAAATTTTTGTTGACTGTACATCGATGCTGAGCTGAACTTACTTGAACAGTGGTAAACTGAGCAGGTCCACCAACTGGATAAGAGGTGAATTGATTTCTAGAAAGAGTCAGCTGGTTCAGATTACAAAGACTAGAGAGCAGTCCTTCAGGCAGTTGTGAGAGTGCATTGTTTTCCACGTTGAACTCAGTCAGGTTCGTACAGTTGCTGAGCGTTCTTGGCACTGAATCAAGGCGGTTGTACCTAAGCATGCCAAAGATGATTTAGAAATCAAGTAAAATACATTTTTTTTAAATTTTGACTCACCTTAGCCCAAGTCTGTTGAGATTAACCAAATTACCAATGGTTGAGGGAATATCAACAAGCTCATTGTGGTGCACATCAAGTGAGGTCAGCTTTGTGCAGTTGCCAATCTCCGGCGGAAGGTGCTCAATGTGATTATTGGCCACATCAAAGGTCGTCAGACTGCACAGATGGCCAATTCCTCCGGGCAGCTCTTTAATCTTGTTCTCTCGCAAGTTGAGTGTTTGCAAGTTCTACCATAAACAAAGTAGTACATCAAAATTAGTACATCATTTTTAAGATTCAAGACAAATTTTTACCGTCAGATGCTTAATGTCTTCGCCGACTGTTCTGATGCGATTGAATCGGAGAAGTAGGTTTGTGAGAGTCGTCAGTTTGTACACAACATCAGGAATCTAAATTAAAAACAAAATTAGACTAATGCAACGAGCACATCAGAAAACAAAGTACCTCGTTCAGCTTGTTATGTCGCAGATCCAAAACCTTAAGGCGTTTCAAGTTGGCTAGAGAATCAGGAAGGCTGGACAAGGAGTTCTCATTGATGGCAAGAAACTCCAAATTCTCCAGACAGCCAATCTCACTGGGCAGCGAGGTGAACTTGTTCTGGTACAGGTAACACTCCGTAATCTGCGTCAAATCACGAATGGAAGGGGGCAACGTTGAGAGATTCGACTTGATGAGATCAAAGTGCTTCAAGTTCTCCTCTTTGCACTTTTGAATTTTCTTCTCCACGTCCTGACCACTCTGGGTGGTCTTCTTCCGCGTAATGGCCGGCTTTGGTTTGTGCTGTCCAGGTGAGTGAATCATCACCTGCTTTGGCTTGGCAGTATCACTTGACGAGCTGATGCTCGACTTTTTGTCCTGCTGTAAAAGGGGAAACAAAACGGTGTTAGTCAGCACAAAAACCCAAATAAAAAAGTGCACTACCTTGAGAGAGGGAAACCCATGACTGGTGGATGGCTGGTCAAATGGACTTGGCGGCGGAATCGGCTCATCGCTGAGGTAGGACGCTGAGGTGCCGGTGCTGGTGCCGGCGGCACCACCACCACCTCCAGGGCCTCCAGTCATGCCCGTCAATGACCCCGACTGCCCTTCGGACTCGGGTGAGCTGGGACTGAGACAGGGACTGACGACGGTGCCGGTACCTGTGGTGGTAGTGGCTCCAGAGCCACCAGCGCCACTACCGCTGGGCCCACCTTCTGCGTGCATGAGAGAACTAGGGTCAACGAGGGACAGCGGCGGAGGTGGTTGTTGTTCTCCTTTGCTTCCTTTACTTTGTTTTCGCATCCTCTGGACAAGGGCTATCAGGCTGGCAAGGGATGCAGCGGCAGCCTGTTGAGGAGGTAGCGGCGGTAGTAGTGGTTGTGATGGTAGTGGTTGTGACTGTGGCGGTGACTTTCAAAAAAGGATGATGAGTTTTGAATTGGATAGATGAGAAGCAGAGAGTGTACAGTGTTCAGGTACTGTTGATTATAATTATAATTATGCAACAGGTTGATCAGACAATTGGTCGGTGGCAATTGAACGCTTGAGCGATGATGATGAGTGGATTAAGAAGAGAGAGAGAGAGATTGAAGGCTAGAGAAGGTTACAACAGTGGCAATTAGTGAGCCAAAGGGAACTGAAGAGTAAATGTGCTTGAGAAGGCGTCAGGTGTTGAGTGTAATTTTATCGTTTTGAAAGTCTGCAATTAGAAATAACAAATGAATTAGTTTTTGGCCGGCAAAAGGGTGTGCTAGTAAAGTTGTGTAATGTAACTTGAATTGGACATGTGTACAAGTACTGAAAGGAGTGAAGGAACGACTTAGCCAAGTTAGTGATGAGCATAACCAGAAAACGACCAGCATGTACTGTCAATTGTCAAACTGTTTTTAGTGCTACAGCCAACAGTGTCGTTGTAGCAGCTACGACTATTGAAAAGCACAGCCGGTGGTGGTAGTGCACCGATCAATCTCCCACATTTCACTGTAAGCACTGTGCAGCAAAAACGCACATGTATAGCGATGGCGACGGCATCACTACAGCAACAGCAGCACCGGCGGCGACAGCCACAGCAGCTATCGTTTCTTGCGTAATCGGAGAATAATTCGGAAATGAACTCATTCATTCAGTCATAATCATAATCACAGGCACACACACACTTTCTCGTGTCATCTCGGTGACAAAGAGCACAAACAAAGAAGATATACTGAAAAAATTGGAGAGTTGTCATGATAGCAAAACTTCTTCTACTTAGCAACAAGCAGCAGCAGAAAAAAAATGAGAAAGCACCTCAGGCACCTAATGCACTACTCTACTTCAATTTGTGATTATTCATCGTGACTGAGGTCGACACTACAGCACTATTTGTCGCTTAATACACCGACACTCACACCTGGTCTATTCTACTTTGCTCAGGGTTAAGTGCTCTTTTCCGCCAAGATCAATTCCAATCTTGTGCAAATTATTGAATGAGCGATTCAATAACTTATAAAGCTGACAACAAAAATAAAAATGTACACAAGCATTTAAGATCTGAGGGAAAAAGTGTTTACAATAAATGACATACTTCTTTGTAAAAAGTGAGAGCATAAAAAATGCTTGGATGAGAAGTACCGTCATTACGATGAGTTGAGTAATAATTTCAGTGAGTTAGGTTGAAGCAATTGACAACATTTTCAAATAGTGCTAGCAATTAGAGGAGCAATAACATTATCAGTAAACAATAAAACAGTGACAATGATAAAATGATGAATATTGCTGGGAAAACTAACTAGTGGTTTTCCGATGAAGTTGAGTAAAGTGGAAGATGTAATGACAGTGGAAGCAAAAAGAGGAGATAAGCAGGTTGATCAAAGATCGACAATCACTGGAAGATTACTGAGGGTGATAGTGAAAGTGTGGCAAAATCACCACCATCATGGCCAGGCGCACTTGGTGCACAACAACACAAGTGCACAAACACAAACAAACACACCAGTTCTAGTGCACCCAAGCACTGCATCAAAGTGTTGATCACAGAATTGAATCTGATGGCGATAATGAAGGTAAGGAAGTGCATCAAGCAGTGTGCAGAATCGAGGGTGACCTGTGGCCGGTGACTGGTGGTCGACCCGACAGAAGCAGAGACACACTGCCGACAGTGCTGCACAAGGCTGGTAGTGGTGCTATGTGATTTCGGGCCTCTTCTCTCCGACTACCAGAACAAAAATTGCAGTCTGTGTGTTGCCAGTGGTGGTGGCGGTGGTGGTGGTGGTACTACTTCTGCAGAACAATTTGCCACCATGCATCAGCAGTACAGTGAGACAGTGTGCACTAGTGCAGCCGACTGTGCACAGTCCGAGTCACTCACTGCTGCTGCCTCTGCTACTGCACCATTCATTCATTGTCAATGAAAGGGGGATCCGCCGCCGGATCATTCCTACCAGAGTACACCAACAGATGCCGCTAAAGGTAGGATATCCAACGACAGGAATACATTTTAACTCATTGCCTCAGCGGCAAAATACATGCAGCAAAGTGATAAAAAAGAGCATTTCAAGCTAACGCGCTCGTTTCCGTTGATATTTTTTTAGTAGTGAAACAATTGCTTATTGTAGTGTTTCCGATTGGAAAGAATTAAATTTAGACATCAAGCAACATTGGACGGCAAAACAGATGAGGGAAAGGCACAATACAACAAAATGCCCCAAAGTAGTGTGTGGTCCACTGTTGAATCATTGATGTGGTCACAATCGATTTATTTAATATTGCCCTTCAGCTTATCACTGCTAAATAATTAAAGGCGCCAATCACAAAGCACCTCCCTTTCCAACATCTCCCACGCCGTTGTAACAAACAAAGAGACATGCAAATAAGATATTGGTCGAGTCCTGGGTACAGAACAATTGTACCAGGTACGTGAAAAGATTAACATTTCCGCTGATTGCACTTAAACAATGGAATAGAATACATTTCAATCTATACAAATTAGATTTGGCATTCAGTAACTCATGTGGGTGATTGTCCTAAAGAAAAACAGTAGAGAAAATGACAGGAATTGACGTGAATCAAAGCGCCAATGGGTTAAATGGGAATTTGCAAAAAGGGTATAGAACACAGTTTGATTTGAGGTGTAGCAAGATAAAAATGGGCGCCACACCAGACACAACCAAACACTCACTAGCACTGGACAGTGTGATGAGCAGAATGCACTGTTCAATGTGTGTCTGTGTGCCTGTCTGCTTGTCATTAGTAGTGGAGATCCAGTTGAGAGGTTCCAAAAATACGCTGAGCAGCAGCTATAAATAGCACCAGCTAACTTTCCACTGGTTTAGATGGTAGTGGTGGCGGTGGTGCTCTTGCTTTTTCCGTACTTTCAAAGTGTGTGTGTGTGTGTTAGTGTAAGAAGTGCAGTGCTAATCTGGCAAAACAGTTCTCACCACCCTCTCTCTTTCTTTCTCTCTATCACTCGTTTAGCTATTGTTATCTTTACCAGTGAAAGCTTTCTAGAAACGAAGAATTTACCAGTAAAAACCATCATCATCATCACTGCTAGCAGCAACTACAGCAGCAACACCAACAAGCCTACCGGCCAAACTGGGCCTAATCACCGAGCATGGACTCGCAAATCAACAGCAAATAAACAGGCAGAAGAAACAAGCTTNTCACTGCTAGCAGCAACTACAGCAGCAACACCAACAAGCCTACCGGCCAAACTGGGCCTAATCACCGGGCATGGACTCGCAAATCAACAGCAAATAAACAGGCAGAAGAAACAAGCTTTGAAAGAAAAAAGCCGCCTAAGTATAGAAAAAGAAGCAGAAGCACAGTGGCGAGAATTGCCAATCACTCACCAAGATTATACGCACACACTGTGTGTGTCTGCTTTGTACAGTTCTTTGCTGAAGTAGCGGAAAACTTTGCGCCGGTGACGTTGCTGAAGGTGCAGCAGCAGCTGCAACAATTGCTGCTGCCACTCGATCAAGGTGATTGGTAATTGCAAAAAAAGATAATGATACGGTCGATTTGTAGGCGCCCAAAGAAAAACGGAGTTAAAGTGTATCAAAACAGATTGGAACTGAGAGGGTGGGAAAGGGGAAGAGCGGAGACTTCAGTTGTTGCAGTTGCCGCTGAAGAGAGGAGACACTGCTGATCGAGGGAGGACTAAAAATACCAGTGGACACAAAGGTGCTGCTGGTGCTGGTGCTAGTGCGATACAAGTGTGCGATATGGCGGCAAAGTGTGCTCTGTACTCTGACGAGCATTCAGATGCCATGCTGCGCTCCGGCTGCTCCTGTCGGCGTGCGCTTAGGCAGCTGCATCAGCATCAGCATCAGCACCAACATTAGCGGCAGCAACAGCAACTAGAGCAGCCGGCGATTGCACGGCGCCGTGACGGACTCGCCGAGAAAGGGAGGAAGAAATATTCGCAAGGCGGTAATTCGCCGCCGCCACCGCCGCTACTAGTAAGCTCAGACTGAGGGTGTCAGTCAGTCAGTCATTCATTCATTCTTTCAAAGTTGAAGTAGTAGTCAGTCAGTCGGTGGAATAGTAGAATAACAGTGAAAGAGAGAGAGAGATCCCTTTTAGAGCAGCGCCGAAGTGCANGTCATTCATTCATTCTTTCAAAGTTGAAGTAGTAGTCAGTCGGTGGAATAGTAGAATAACAGTGAAAGAGAGAGAGAGAGAGAGATCCCTTTTAGAGCAGCGCCGAAGTGCACAGAGTTGCTGGAGAATGCAATAGCCGCCGATGAGGAAAGGCTGATCCGACTGGCTCCGAAGGATACTTCAGCCATGACTCAGCTTCAGCAAGCACTGTCGGCTGGTCGGTAGGTCGGTCGGTGGCCAGTGAAGTGAAGTGCAATGCTCGAGCAATGCACTGAAAAGTGAGAAAGAGAAAAGCACTGCGTGAGTGTGGTGAAAGGAAGTAGAAGCACTGGAATGACACCACTAGCTATGTTCACCCATAAAAAGAGATTTACAACAGGTGAGTCACTAACTGGCTCACTCAGTCAGAGTGTGTGTGCGTGTGATGTCGAATAGCAACGTGACCACCGGCGCTGTTGCTAATACTTCAGCATCTCCCTCGCTGCTCTACTCCTCTTTCAGCTGTCGTCTTGTGACACCGAATGGTATCACACACTTGATTTTCAGTGCCTGGGCACCGGGCTCGTTAATTGGCTCCAATTAGGCGGCACAGCTAAATAGTGTCGCAGTAGCTTGCTAAAGTACAACTTACGTGCAGAAGA